AAATAACGAGCGTGGAAGATGCAGCAACCACCGCAAATGATGCCTGTGATGCCTTCGTTTCCACCCACAAACATAACCACTGAGCAGATTCAGAAGGTACCGCTTTTTAAATCCCATTGTCTATTTCCCAGGCAGCCTGCAACGAAATCCGGTAACTTGGCAGATTTATAACTTTATTAGCTGAGAAGCCTCCGGCGGCGCCTTGAGGGTTGGTATATTTTGGGGCTATTGTTTAACTGAGAAGGAAGCGCATCGCTTCTTGAAGATATCTGATATACTAACTGTGCCGTTTTCTTAAAACAGTGGAGAAAACTTCTTCGCGAACCTTCTATTATAGAGCCCATACCTGCTTAAAAATCGAGTCTTTCATAATGGGCTGGCTGCTATGTAAGGGCTTCGTTAATCAATTTCATTTGAGAGGCTCTTGATAGTAGTAGCATCTGTCATATTACGATTTTCTACGCCCTGAAGAATTGAAAACGGAAGATGGGATAAGAGCTTCATCCAGTTGACAGGGCAGATGGCGAATTCAATCTGCTTTCTCTTTGATTGTGGCTTCACTCTCTGTTAATACAATCGATTATCTCTCTTTTCAGCACCTCCCTTGGTCTTCCACCAATACAAAATATACATTAATTTCAGTATGCCATGGCCTACAACTATTGACCATTTTCCCAATCTTTTAATCTTTTAATTCTCCAATGAATAGAATGAGCTTATTCTCATGCATTCTAATTGAGTGACTATCATGTTTCATCTCATGTGTCGAGTTCTTTCCCATTACTTACTGAGAAATCCATGGTCTGAGTTGTAGCTTGACTGTTACTTCCCCTGTGTGTGAACTTTAGCTCTGTTGCGGCTCGCATCCATCTAGAGTCTTAAACTTAGATTTGTCGTTGGATATATCCATTGTTAAGGAAGGTATCATGAGAGCCTCTTATTAATTGGTGGCTTATGTAATCTTAAACTTCTCAGGCCCTAAGAATGTTCTTTATTTTATGGAACTATATGGAGGATCTACATGTATGTTGCTCCCAGAATGGAGATAAAGGATGATATAAATCTAGCTGTAACTGGTGGATCTAATTTAATTGTTTTAGCCTTCTATGTAAAGTTAAGAGTTTGAAACTATTATTTTTTTAGATCTTTAACTGTGTCATCAAAATAGGTGCATGAAATGTTACTGCCAACATATTTAGCATCAAATTTTCCTTCTCTCTGTTCCAGAAATGGTCATTCTTGTGCTGGGGAAATATAGTTCTTATTGTGGCAGAACCCCATTATGGGAAATGATACTCTTTTTACGTAAATAATAGCTTAGTTAGTTTTCCTTTTTTACTATTTGTCTATTTCTTCTTAACGTCAGCTTGCTATGCCCTGGCAATCAATAAGAATTTGCATTATTTAATTTGAAATTTTACATGCCCTTTTACGCGATGCAGTATCTTGATGAAAATAAGAAGTTGATCCTGGCAATATTGGACAATCAAAATCTTGGAAAGCTTGCTGAATGTGCCCAGTAAGTCACTTCTAATTTTTCTCTGTGCTTTTAATCGGTTCTGTGCCAACAATCTGATTTTTTGTGCTTACCATTAGTGCTATGTGATTGGGCACATATATTTTCTCATTGTCAACCGCCATGTTGTGTCTCTGCACAGTGCATAAACTCCTGAATCATAAGCGGATAGGAATTCTGGTGTAAACCTTCTGCTCACTTGATTCCGTTGTATTGGAAATCATATACATGTCATATAATGTTCGATTGAAATGAAATGATGCGTGGGATTGAATTCTCAGTATTGATACCAGTTCAGTTCTCAGTGAAACATACATCACGCGATACTTCTTTTCCTATTACTCTTGCCTGCATTACTTGCAATTTCTATTTTGTGCTTATTGACATGTTAATATTGGTAACCAAATTCAATGATATTTATTGAAAGAATAGCATGAATTAAAAGCAATGTTTTATAACGTCTTTAGCTTTATTTGTATAGGCTGATAGCCGTATCCAACGACTTGGTCAGGACTTCAACCTAATTTCTCTTTTATCTTAACAACCATTTATGTTCCAGTGTGTTTGTATTCATCTGTTCCAAGTTTTCATGTAATTTACATGTAATATTTTTATATGTTAGGTACCAAGCTCAACTTCAAAAGAATTTGATGTACTTGGCTGCAATTGCTGATGCCCAGCCACAAACACCTACTATGCCTCCTCAGGTGGACATTGACTATAACCAGTTATTACCGAATATCACATACTGCTTTTTCTAATCTGTTTTCCTTGTATGAAGCACTTACAGATGGCCCCACGTCCTGCAATGCAACCGGGATACTACATGCAACATCCTCAGGCAGCGGCAATGGCCCAGGCTCAGCAACAAGGTATTTTCCCTCCAAAGATGCCTATGCAATTTGGTAATCCACATCAAATGCAGGATCCACAGCAGCAGCAACTACACCAGCAAGTCATCCAAGCACAAATGGGAATGAGACCTCCTGGAGGGATCAACAATGGTATGCATGCGATGCATGGTGAGGCTGCTCTTGGAGGAAGTAGTGGCGGGCCAGCTTCATCTTCTGGTGCAAATGATGTGCGTGGAATTAGTAAGCAAGATGCTGCTGAGGCTGGAACAGCTGGTGGAGATGGCCAGGGTAGCTCAGGTGCTGGGCATAATGGCGGTGATGGGCCTGATGAGGCAAAATGAGGTGACATAGTGTAAGCTTCCATAAAATACATGTGACTGTTGATAGTAGGGTTCTCTTAAAAGGCAGGAATAGTGTGATCTGATGATCTTGAATAGGTCAAGCAAAGAACAAAAACTTTCTCTTGTTAAACAGATTAGCTAAGTGAACTTGTGTTTTTAGTATAGTGGTAAGAGGAAGCGGTGGAAGCAAGTGGCTTGTATTATCATGCCCTGTTACATTTGCGATTACCAGAATTTCATGCTGATTTAAAGACTCTTTTTCTTTGTTGTGTTAAATAAATAAATATTAGCCTCTAGAGCAATTTGAAGTAAAATGGGCTATGTCTCATTACTCGAGGACCCACCTGTTCTGCAGGTTTTTGACAAAATCCTGTTCTGGTTCTCAATGAAGTTTGGGTTTGATCATCGAAAGATTCTTTGCATCATTTTAGTATTGGTTATTGCCGTCTGCCGACTAAAATAAAGTTCTGGCAACGTAGCCATCCCACGGGGTGGAATTTCTTGGTGCTCTGAACCAGGCGAAGTATTATACTCCTTTTGGGAACCCGTGGGTTTTGATCATGTGATTATGGGATTTTGGAAAGTTCAGTGAGTGGCTGAGGAAAGAGATGTATAAGATTTGACTCTGATTGTTGGATATCCGGTAGAATGACTTAACGAGGAGAAGATAAAGTACAATGGGTGGTCCTTGGCATTCAAACGAAGAGCAAAGAAAAAAGTGTTAACGAGAAATATCATTTTGGAAACTGTTTTTCTTTAAGCTGAAATTCGTTCGGGAATATGCATTCATTGTAAAATCATGTAATGGGACTAGTTAATTTTTAAATTAAAAGGATCTATGGTATTAATCAAGAAGATACACAGTTTGGTAAAGTCAAATATCTTAAACGATAACGCTATTAACAAATCTAAAACATGACATGGATTATATGGTTGCATGCATTCATGCATATAGATTCTCATAAACCTAAATAAGGACAAAAGGTAGGGTGGAAAATGCAGTTCAGTGTTTGTTGACATCCAACACACACAATATAAGCATCTAGACTTTGAAGTCTATTTCTGAAACTAAAATCGTGAACACACTATGAAGAAGCTTCGGAATTAAGGGAGGGTGGAATATTCTAATTTTCCAAGTGTGTTCCCCAGGGTATGAAATTGAAGGACAGTGAGAAGCTCCAAGCGCAGTTCAATATTATTCAGTAACATACTCCTAATTGGTAAGAATATGAAATTAAAAGTTAAGGTTTTCCGCATTAAGCGCAGAATTTGTTTGAACAGTTGACGTATTTGATAACAAAATCGTCAGAAATTGTTTTCACTGGTACCTGACGATTCACAGATCGTAAGGGGGAAAAAAGCACCTCAGAACAATAATGAAAACCTCTTGTTTAACGATTAAATATATGCCAAGAGTCATCCCAGCAGCATGCAACTCATCTATATCTCTCCTACCTTCATACTCATTCCTTTCTGTCTTTTATTCGTTAGCTATTACAATAAATTAAGGAGCTTTCTTCGTTAATTAAATAAACAGATGACGTTCCCGTTTGGCATGATCAGTGGGGGTTGAAATATGTTATTTTACTTCTCCAAAATAGAGACTTGGCTTAAAATTTTCAGATGCCAGATTAACACTCTTCTTCCATGTCCATCTGACGTCGCTTATACAGGACTGTTTATCTTAACAATGGCTTTCTTTCACTTTCATAGAGAATTAACAAGGATATACCTCATATCTTAGCACTCTGTTTCTTGCAGAAACGAACAAGCTTTCAACTACTCCTTCAGCCGGCCCCTTCTTTCGTTAATATTAATATAGTACCTCCGGTTTTTAATATAAGAGCTTGTTTGATTTTTATTTTAGTTCTAAATATAAGATTCCAATCCATTTTGTTTCTTATATTTATACATTTTTTCTAATATAGTCCTTCTAATAATGATAGTTCTAATCAATACACTTAATTAGTAAGAATATTTTTAGGAAAGACAACATCTATTTATTACAAATAACTAACTTAACTCATTTTTTTAATCTCCTCAAATTAATCAATTGGCTCTTATAATTAGGACCGGAGGTAGTATAAGATAGCCTATCACCTTAATAATAAGAATGGTCACGTTGGATTATTCTAATGGGAGGAGAGTATGCAAATGAGATGGATATCTCGCCCAGTATTCATTTGAATATGATCTCTAATAATTCGAGAATCAATTTGATTGCAATAAATTAAACACCCACGGAGTATCTTTTTTTAAAGCATGTAAGCTTTAAATAACTTCTAAAACAAGGTAGAGATGGTAATCAATTCAATACTCATCAAATTCCAATGTTATATATCTCACATTGCGGAATTCAAACCTCACCCATCAAATCCAGAGAGAAGATTCTAATTCTTTGACCAATAGAAATCAACGCTTATCAATCCCCCATCACTCGTTTATAGAAGAAAATCAAAGTCACCTTCATCTCCATCTTCACGCTTAACTTGCTTCTGTGTCCTCTGTTTTGCTCTGTATTTATCTTCCTTTTCCTCACTTTTGTGGTCGCTAGTTGTCGCTACTCGCTACTTTGTACAGGTAAGAATCAAGGCCAAAACCTCGAATAAACCGACAATTCAAACCTGTCGGAAATTCCTGTTGTATCCTCAATCTTCGTCTGTCCATACAACAGATCCCATCCTAATTTACTGAAAACGAACAGAGACACACAGAACAAACAAATTCGACATGAAAACAGAGCATCACCATCATCACTACCAGAAGAAACCAGCGACAGCCGTCAAATTAGCAAGACCCGCCGCGTACTTCCTCCTCCTCTTGCTAACTTACGCCTTCGGTTACCTATCCGCTCCTTCTTCTTCAACCTCCTCGCCATCACCAACAACACGACTAACCTCTCATTCTTCTTCTTCTTCTTCAACCTACTATACACCTGTGCTCCATCTCACCAATTCTACACGTACCCATCTGAACTATTTTCGGGTCACCGCTCGATGCGCCGACCCGATCCATCCCGACCTCGTCCGCCCGACGCTCCTGCGTTACCTCTTCAACGGAACATCTCCTTTTACTAATTTCCCGCCGGAGCACGCGGCAAAGCGAGTCCGTCGAAAGCGGGTCAAAGGGTGGGGCTCCAAAGGCGCGGTCTTCGAGAACCTCATTCGTCGAGTGAAGCCTCGAACCATAATCGAAGTGGGCACATTCCTGGGCGCATCGGCGCTTCACATGGCCGAGTTGACCCGGCGACTCGGGCTGCAAAGCCAGATCCTGTGCGTGGACGATTTCCGCGGGTGGGCCGGGTTCAGGGAGCGGTTCAAGGACATACCGATGGTAAACGGCGACGTGATGCTGTACTACCAGTTCATGCAGAACGTAGTGAGCTCGAACGCGACGGAGTCGATCGTGCCGGTCCCGTTCTCGAGCGGTTCGGCCCTGATGAAGATGTGCGAGATGGGGGTGTACGGCGACTTGGTGGAGATCGACGCGGGTCACGACTTCTATTCGGCGTGGTCCGATATAAACCGGGGATTCCGGATCCTGAGACCCGGTGGGGTTATGTTCGGGCACGATTATTTCACAGCGGCGGATAACAGAGGCGTGAGGAGAGCCGTCGATTTATTCGCAGCTCTTAATGGTAAAAAGGTTCATATCGACGGTCAGCACTGGGTCATCGAATCTTCCTAGTTCTTTCCTTTTTTGTTTTCAATTTTTGTCACTCTTTACGCAACCGCAAAAGAAATGTGAAAATATCTGTACACTAGTTAGCTTTTTTGCTTCTTAGTAGTAATTATATTAAAGGAAAAAAAAAAAGATATAAGGAAGTTGTTATACATAAAAGTAGAAGGGATGTGAGCGTGAGTGAAAGAATAAAGTGAAGTTGGTTGAGTGATTGAAAATGTATGGTTCAATTGGCATATTGCATGAGAAGTTGGAAAGGCTTTCAAGTTAGCTTTGGCTCATCTTAATGGCTTACCAGGACAAGTAGTTGATGATTTTTAAGAAATTAAACCAGAAAAATTTATATACCTGTTTTCCCCAAGATGTTGACACCATGGTCCCTCCAAAAGAAATAAAATAAATAAAGGCCCACCGTTTAATTTATTTTATTATATATTCAACATCCATTAACTATTAACTATTATTTTGAAAAAGAAAGAGCCCTAAAGCTTAGTTTACAAAACGATCGTGTGATCATGTGAGAATTGCTTCTAGCTGCAGGCCCTCCTCTCTTCAACCATTTCAGTATCATCCAAAGCGTTTGTCTCCTGCCCACGGCACAATAACTGCAAGCTAAGGAAGCAGAGGATTCTCTCTTACTGATTTGGTGTTTATCTTTTTGGATGCTGCTTACATGATATCTCATCAGCTCTTGATAAAATGAGTTAGATCCCAAGAGAAGAGTTCCCCCAAATCTTAAAAAAGTTTATAAAAATATTTTGAAATCGTAGTTCACTGATAAAGTTTTAATGCAAGCAGCAGAATTCAAACCTAGATGCAAGCATGCTTATAAGGAGTGGAATTGATAACTAGCTTGTTCCATGACATATCAAATCATCGGTGGATCTTGCACTCTTCTTGTTTTCTTGATCTCCTTACTTGGTTCGTTGTTGCCAGTTTCTTTGGGGATATAAAGGTTTTATTACATAATACTCTACGTTTTTATAATAACATCCTCTACGTTTTTATTCCTTTTCTTGTCTTCTTGAATGCATGTTGCATTGTAATAGAATATGCGCATTATATTGTCCTACAAAAATTTTATGATAAAAATTTCCTGCGCCCTAAAAAAAAAATCTTGATGCACACTTGTTTTAATACTAATTTTATTTTTTTTAAACTCCATATGGATCTTTTTGCTGTATTTGGATATAAGTGTAGTTTTTTTTATAATTTTGAAATTATTATTTTTATTTTTTGTAAGCACAAGTATCTTCTTATTGGAGATAATCCTGTACAAAGTATTGTTGAGCATTGAATTTAGATACATTTTCTAATAAGAATTTAAACTTTGAATCATCATGTTATGAGGAATTAATCACTTCTGCTGCACTCTTTTTGTTATTTTTATATTCACGGAGGGTTGACAAAATAAAAAATGCTAAAAAATTTCGGTATTTGAATCCATAAATGTTATTAGAATACCCAATGGCACAAAGATCCCATTCAACTTTTGAGAAATAAATGACAATTGCATTGTTTTGTTTTTTAGGCAGGCAAAATAATGAGTTAAAATTGCAGGTTGCTGAGCCCATCTAAATTCCCAGGAGAATTGGGCCAGCCCAACCCTTTCAGCATCGCATGGGCGGCTTCGTCTGAACTAACCATTATCTTCAGGCCCGAAAAAGTACAAAAATCCTTCTCAGACGCGATGCTTGGCAGGAGGCAACGGACATGCATCTTTAAGGATGAGGTTTTTTTTTTTTTTAATTGATACAAATATTATGATAAAAAAATATGTATTCAAATTGTCAAATATTACCAAACATAATCTGAAAAAAAATCAATGACATGTATCTGACAAGGATCCTTAACTTTTGTCCCATAAAAAATTCTTATTTCTCCATTGGAATAGTTGGATTTGACGTCATGAAAATTTCGATCTTCTAATCTTTTATTTAGCCAATAAGATTTTATGAGTCATGCATTGCCTTTCTCATTTAAAATAATTTTTCAAAATACAATCCCCATATTATCAATTGCTGACTATTGCTAAGATCGATCATCCTATGGTTTTAAGTAAACTATGATATGATGACTAGTTGAATATAAAAAAAATATTTTATCTTATTTAATATGTTTATCTTCTGGCTAAAAAATAATAGGTTTATAATGTTGATAATCATGTAATTATTAATTATAAAAAATTAAAATCAAATAAATTCTTCTAAGAATTAGTTATAATCAATCAAAGATAGCAAAAAAAGTTATACTCAATTAAGTAATTTAAAATTTAGACCAATTAATTATTTGCATAATATTTGATGTAGTGCATGATAAGATATAAATATGGTTATTTTAGATATTTACGATTACCTTATTAAGATTATTTGAATTAGAATATGTAGAAATATATTTTGTCTCGAAGCAGTGGAAGTTATATAACTTCTACTATTTAATATAAGAACTAATTTAATATTTAATTTAGTTCTAAATATAAGATATAAATCCACACTGTTTTTTCATATTTAACTATTTTTTTAAGATAGTCTTTGTGGTAGTTATATAATTCTAACTAAAATACATGATTAGTAAACATATTTTTTAAAAAATAATATATATTTATTATAAATAACTAATTTAATTAAGTGTTAACCTCATCTAATAATCAATCATCTTGGACAATTTCACTGGACATTTTGTTCTGGGAGAACGTGTCACGGTGGTTAACTTATGCAAGTCATCTACCCTAATAGCCTCGTGCGGTATATAATATAAATGTATAAAAAAAAGGGTACAACATGGGTGCTCAAAGGACTGTCACCGTATTAAAAAAAAAAAAGAACGATTTTCGTCATTTATTATTATGGCTGAGAGCCCAATAATTTTTCAACGGTTTTTTTATTTTGGCTTTTTGCTAAGATTTTTTGTTGTTGTGTTTAGCCGAATGCCCTTTTGTCAATTACTTCACCGCTTTCTATTTGAATTATTGTCTCCTGACATGCATGGGAAAAGTTAAACAATATTATCTCCGAGAAGTGATGGTGAATCATTTGTCCTATTAATTAATCGCGGCCTTTTTCCACACGTATTATACTATTATTCCAACCAAATTAACACCTCGAATTTTGTGGAGAGGAAATTGAAGGAAAAATAATTTTTTTTCTAGGATTTTAATTTGTTGAGAGAAAAATATATACTTTCTCAGAACCAAAAATATCAGAGAAAATTTTCATCTGTTTAAGCGTGATAAATTATGTCCGTGGCACTTGAACCAATAGGGGCGGGTGGTAGAATTGGATCTTTGAGATTTCACTGAGATTGATAGGTGACGTGGGTAGCATTAAAGCCATAATTGAGATCGGATGCTTTCCCGTGGATGGGAACGTCCAGTCCCATGAAGAGAGAGAGAGAGACTCGCAAATATAAAAATGTAAGTGCCCTAAAGTCCCAAGCAGCCACTTGTAATTAAGCTACACAACCATATGATAATTAATATAAGAGCTGAATAATTAATTTAAAAATATTAGTTAGATTGACTATTCATTACAAAACTATATTAGTCTTCATAAACTATCATATTCAATTATGTGTATTTTATAACTATCCCTTATGAGAATTTCTTATTACAATCAATAAGAATATTTTTAAAAAAAATGAAAGACAAAATGAATTAGGGTAGTGTATTTATGACTAAATCTAACTTCTAATTATTTCTTATATTAAGAAACAAAGGTAGTACATATTACTGCAATTCCTCCTAATTAAACATATCAGCTAATTAAGAAGTTTGTTTTGATTTCAAATAAAAAATTAGTTTATTGTCTCCAAGATTTTTTTTTTGAACTATCCCCTATTAATTGTCATTATTAAGAAGTGATTTTTCATACAAGGCCTTTCATTATTTACAAATAACTAATTTAATTTTTTTGGAGTATTTTTAAGTCAACTAATTTTTTAATTTTTATATGTAAATTAATTATCAAACTCTTAACGAGCACGAATAAAACGTCACGAATTGAATAAATATAGAGAGGTTGGTTGAAACATAAGCCCTCCTGGAAAATTTAATTTATAAGCCAAGTTTGGATGCTTACAAAATGATATCACGAGTTTTTCAAATTTTACAGATTTATTCACAACACTTTTCTCCCATATTTTTACGAGTTCATTCCCCAAATTTCACAACTCCACGTTTCATCAATTTTTTCCATTCCTCAGTCTAAATAAAGCATCTCATTGGTGTGATGATTTATTTACTGCGTTATATTGACGTGGATAGTAGTGGGATAAATGGAACACGTGGCGTTGATGTGTCTAAAAATATAAAGAGAAGGAACATCAAAGTGGGGTGGTTCCATGTTGTGGGTAACATATATAATGAATCATTCACCCTTTCTCTTTTATAACCAAACCGTCCTAATATGATATTACACATGCACATGTCACTTCTTTATTGCTATGCCCTGTGGTAGCCTACATTTCTCATATCTATAATTCATTTGTCCCACCCATGCACCTTCCTTTGTCTCTTTCAATATATATATGCATATATATATATATATATTCCTCAATTTCTATTTATTTCCTCAATCCCTTATTTCTTTTTTTTGGTTTATTTCTGCAATATTAATATCTGCATATTCATGGTGGCCCCAGGAAATATTTGATTGGTTCGTTTACTTTGGGTAATCCTACAATATCAAATATTATCCCTAACTCTTAATATAAGATCTGTTTAACAAATTTGATTAAATTAATGAAGTTGGTAAGTTAGTTAATTATAAAAAAATATGACATATTTTTTCTAAAATACTATAATCATCTTTCTTAATATCCTACTTGATTATGGTTGGATGAGTATCTATAGGGTTAATTTAGAAAAAATTAATAAATATGATAAATAGATTTTATATTTAGAATTAAAATCAACTGATCAACAATTAATTTTTATATGAAGGAGGGGAGGAGCATCTGATAGTGCCCAACGAACAATTTCAAAATGTGAATTACTGTGGGTAATACGACAATATCAAATATCTGATATATATATATATATAGAGAGAGAGCATTGATGGATGATGAATAGGATAGATCTTCATATTATACACCACATATAAGGAGACATGGAAAATTCTACGCACATGGCTCACCTGTAATTTTTATGTTATCAATCCGTATCGAAACATTTATCACATTTTATTGATCACCTCTCTCAAAATTAATAAAATCAGAGATTTTTTTTTTTGGAAAAGTTATGCTTTTAAGACGCTAAAAACAAACAAATACTAGTTTGCCTTTAATAAAAAAAATTATGTTCACAAAAAATAATAAATCCACCAGATCAATAGAACACACAAACATGATAATTCTTTTTAAATTAGATGCTCCCATAGTAATAGCATCGCATTATTATTTATGTTTTAATTTTAGCAAAAGATCTTAATAAAATAGAATATTTTATTTATTTAATGATGTTAGAGAGGAAGATGTGATGTCCGTGAACTCGCTTTTTTAATTATAATAAAATGACAAGTCATAATTAAGAGCGCTTTTCAATTTTTCGACCTGAAACTATTTCATATCTTAAGGATGTCATATCATTCATATTCTCCCCCAATAAACATAGACCAAGCGTGGAAGAAGAAGATGTAAACAGAAATTACTCAAATGATAAATTGAGAACAGAAAATTCATATAAGAAAAAGGAAAAAAAAAAAAAGAAGAGAAAATTTGTACATATGCCTTGAAAAAATAAAACATTTTATTTGATTTTGAATATTCTGACTGGTTAGAATACAGATGATATTGTACTCCAAGAATATCTAATAATTTTTTCTCATCTCTCGACAGCACATGTTGGCCGCCGATTAATAAAATCATTTTTTAAGTTTAGATAAATTTAGATATTTTCTTTCAATTATTTCAAGAAAATCGCGCTTTATATATACAGACTACATATTTCCTTTCTGTGTGCGCGCTTCATGAAGTTTTTAATTTGATATTTATATTGGTCCTTATTATTTTCTGCGGTGTTAGCTTCAGCACGTATGTTAAAGTGTGCTTTTCATTTTCGGTAGAGATGCGCCATAATATTATGGTAATCAATACTCTCAAAACTTGATATCCATCTTTAATTTCACATTTTAAAATGCTATTATATTTATATGATTTACGATATACTATTTAAATCAAAATTAAATCCAAAGCTTCACGCATGCTATAATTCCGTACTTTGACAAGGTGATGAGCAACATACACGAAGGAATAGTTCTAAGTTTTGAGTTCCATAATTAAGTTTATCTGGGCTATAAACCTGCGATAATTTGCAGATGTAATTTATTAAAAATAATCTGATTTTTATGAATCTTAAATAGATATGTAGATAGATTAACGGGCGACCTTTGACCTTCATGCAAATTGATGATAGTGCGATCAATATTGCAAATGACTCGTAAATATATATATATATATATATATATATATAACAAAACATGTCAAGAAATTATCATAAAAAATACTAGCATGATTGGAACTTGTATTGCCGATGATCCATAATTAAAGTGACGGCATGTACAATTTTTAGCAATGATATGGATGGAAGATAAAGGAAAGAAATGTGTGCTCATATATAAAACATTTGTTTATTATACGCTAGTACAGTAGTAGTATTTCTCTTAGTAGTATTTATCTGTTCCTAAATATAATATAAGCATACTATTTAAAACCGGAGGAGTATTAATTTTGCCGACAAATTCAACGAACGTAGTTGTACACTTGCCTCTTTTGCCAATAACGTGGTTGGGGGTTGTGTGCCTCACTCGGACATCACGGATCTAGAGACTTTATGCCATGAATCCAAGGATGTTTTTAAAATTTTATTCGTCCCAAAATTTTCAAAACTCAAAAAAGACAAAAGGACTACTTCAAAGGAAAAATAAATAAATAAATATAAGAGACAAAATGGATTGGGGTTTATATTTAGAACCGAAATAAAAATTAAACAAGGTCTTATATACGTTAAGAACCGGAGGTGGTACCATCACAACTTCAAAAACCACACTACATCCTTTTTATTTCTTGGGTGTAATATAAGGTCGATAAACACCGTATTATTAGTTATAATCTATGAATAATGAGTTGTGTTATAAATTTTATATTATTTATTCATTGATAGATTGACGATTTGTCATCCAAGACGCCAACTCTCTCATTATATTTCACAACTTTAACATGTTAGTGTGTGTGTGTTTCACATTTTAATAAAAAAGATATTATTGTGACCACAGATAGTTAGCCCATTGCACTTAAGACAGTTCGACCACACAATTTCGTATTTAGATAAGACTTAACAGTAAGGTGCTAAACATCAGTTGAGCGAAAGAGTTCGGGATCATTAGAACTATATGATCATATACATGCATTTTAATATCCAGAAGAGTTATGTACAATGAATACGAAACCAATCCATCACATAAACCACAAAAGAAAGAAACCGACTATAATATTCCTAAAAAACCATACCTGAACACGGCAAAGAGAAGTACGTACTCATATATTTGTGGTAAACAATATTATGCGCATTACTGTAACTAGAGGAGAGATCTAGTACTAGTGGTGAATATTGAGTGATGATGAAGGCTGAATTTCTAGGGAGCCAGACGCCCCAGAATGGCAGATTTGAGAGCGTCTTCGTTTCTCAAGTCTTCAGGAATCTTCACCACCACGTCTTGCAGCATGAGCTCATTCACGCACGACATGCTCGCATGGTGAACCCCCAGCTCCAGGTCTCTCAGCGCTCCCATTAGCCTCGCCCCCGGGTGGTTCGTCTTCTCCGATTGGACCCTCACCATTGCCTCCGGTCCCATCATCCTCACCTCCACCTCCATCCCTGTCGCGTTCCCACCTCCCGACGTCGTCGTCGTCGTTTGCTCCACCGTTGAAGTCGTCGCACTCTGGTTGTCTGCAGTAGTGCTTGTGTCCGCCATTTCCGTTTTCACTCTTTTGCTGTTATTGTTGTTGGTCGTTTCTTTCTGAACCTGCGACTCCAGGTCCTCGATCTTCGATTTCAGCTCGTTGATGTAGTCCACCGCGTCCGATAGCAGAGAAGCCTTGTCCATTCTGGACACGTTCGGAACCACCGCGCGTAGCGCATAGAACCGGTGGTTCAGCTTCTCCCGTCGCTGCCGCTCTGCCTCCACGTGATTCAGCGGCGTTTCGCGGCCCAGACCGGGTTTTCTCCCTCTCTTCTTTGGGGTTCTTTTTTCTATGGAAGGATTACAGTCCGAATCGGAATGCTCCGAATCCGCAAACCCGAACTTGAATCCCGAATTGGCCTTGTTCCTCTGTTCCGTCTTCTTCCTGCTGTTATTATTCCTTGCGCTGTTATTGCGGTCGGGCACGTTGGAATTGTCCTCTTCTTCTTGTATGCCGGCTATAATGCCGATATCGGCGAAGGAAATGTTCTGATCATCGAAGAACTGAATCAGGCTGTTGTTGTTGGGTTGCTTGGTGATGAGATCAGACGCGAACAGAGCTTTGGCCTGCTGTGCGAGAGCCCAGTTTTCCGGGATGAGATCGGAGGAGCCCATTTCGATGACTCCGTGATCGGTGGGTATACAGACCAGTGTCTCAATTCCGTGCAAGTAAGCCTCCTTGGCTCTCTCACAGTTGCAGAATTGAAGGTCGTGGTCACTGTTGAGCCAGAGCAGAGAACCGGAAGTGAAGGCCTTGCCGGGGAGAGAAGCAGAGGAGGCGACAGAGAAGGTGCGAGTCAAGGACATGACGTAGAACCACTCGGTATCGTGGAGGTCGCTGCAAATGTTAGCGATATTGGGGGAATTATCGCCGACGAGAGAGTGAATGTTGTTCATGAGGCGTGTTCTGTCAGAATGAAGGCCTGTGTAATGGGGAGCGGCGGAAGGAGTGGCGCCGGAACTGGAGAGACGAGGGGAGGTGTCCTTGGTGCCATTGAAATGGCCTTCAGCCCAGGAGAGGAGGAGATTGCCATTGACGTCGTCGTTGGAAATCTGCCAGAAAATGGCGTAGACCCACCAATGAGGCTGACTGTTGAGAAGGAATTGGAGCTTTTGCTGAAGGGAGGGTTGGGCATCTCGGGGGAGAGAGAGAAGAGAAGACGAGGAAGAAGGAGGGATGATCAAATCATCCATGGGAAGCGAGTTTAGAGAGAAGAGAATGAACAGTGCTCTTCTTGCGTGAATAAACGGTGTGTTGGGCAAGGAAGGGAGGGGGGAGATTTGGGGCTGTTTGGGTTGGGTGAGAATGGGGAAAGCGGGGGCTTATATGGTGAGAACAAGTGGGGCCGTTGTGGGGCCTCAATTTGATGGCAGATTTGTGACTGAACGGAAATTCGTACAGTTTATATTTTATGTAAAACCAACTACAGTCCCATATAAAATTAAAAATAGGAAAATTTGGTAAGAAATTTCTGCTTGAAAATTGAATTGGCTAAAAAAAAAACCTGAATTTAGATCCGTACAAGTAAGATCCGTGATTGTAACATATCTTTCGCTATATACAAATGACTTTCATATTGATAATTGTTACATATCATTGATAATATGTTGCACATAATGAAACTATATTGCACTCATTGATTATAATTATACTTGTTTAAATTTAAGTCTTTTATTTCAGTGCTTATCATAATAATGAGTATCTTGATACTCATCAAGTCCTAATCGTTCAAATTTAATACGGATAATTAAGATTTAAAATTTAAAATTTCTGTTGTTTGAAAAATGTTTTTCTTTAATTTATAAATAATTCAAAATAAATGATATTTTTTAACTGTAAGATTATTTAAAAATTTTAAATCTAAACCATTAAAAGTGCTTTTGAAAGGTATAGATTTCACTGCAACGCCAATGATAAGACTGGTTCAGTGAATTAAGGGGATGTTTCGATTTGGTTTTTAAAAGTAATTTTATGAAATTTAAAAAAAAATATATGAGGAGAGTTTTGTTTCAATTTATATAAAAGTATTTTTTTTAAATGCTTCTGAGGGTTCAAAAGAAACTTTATGGTCTTATTTACGACAGAGAGAGGAATTTTTTACTTAAATATACAATTTCATCTTTTATTTATTATTATGTTGACTTTGTTCTCATGAGATATAGGATAAAATTAAAAAGTTGTTAAATTTTAAATAAGAGTTCTTGATAAAATTTAAAAATTTTTTTGGTTTGTGTAACTTTTGAGTAACTTGGTAGACTATTGCATCATATACATAAATTATACATTCTCATGTTTGATGAAATAATGAATTTATATTAACCGGAGTAATTGGTTGGGTAAAATGACCTCAAATTAAGTCTCTTTTTATTAAAATCCTGAAATGATATAAATAAGAGAAAGAGATCTAAAAGTGCAAAATATATTTTTTATAAGTGAAATAAAAAATATTATGAACGTGTTTAGAACAGATAATATATTTTATCATTCCATTTTCGTTAGAAAAAAATAATTACCCGTGATGAAATAGCCAAACGGGAGCGAGGCACTGCCACGGGAATAGCACGTGACACGAATTGACAGCGGGGTTCCTTTTTTTCCTTTGGTTTTTTTCTGTGGACCAGACAGTGAGGTTCATTAGCATTAAACGATTATGGGAAATTCAAGTACCTTTTGATTCCATTATTATTTTTTATAATCTGAATTTTTCATCTCATTGTTCACCAACATTGTCAACTGAGATAAAAAGCTCAGATTATTTTCTGCAAATACCCGGTATGTTTTTAATATATTTTCTTCTGGTCCTATTTACAAAGCAGAGAAAGAAAATATTTTTTTGTCCTATTAATAGGATAGTGAGAAAATTTTTTTATATTGATGTATAATTTTACCTTCTATTTATTATTGTGTTGACTTTCTTTACATGATGTATAATATGTATTAAATAGGGTTAAAGTTGAAAATGTTAAGTTTTAAATTAGAGTTAATTAATGAAGTTTAAAATTTTCTTTAGTCTATATAAAACGTGTTGGAAGTGACTTATACATAGGATTAGAGGAGTATATACACACACATATTAATATATGCATCCCTCTGAATATATGCATAGCCCATAGCTCGTTATAGCTTAGCTACGTGAACCAAACACATTATAAGTTGTGTTCCTCATCATCCTTAAATTGATTGGTTTGATGCTAACGTACACAAGGAAAATGTATATAATATTTATGAATTTTGGATAATAAAAATTAACCAACCACGATGTTCACACTTTACCACTGTGAAAAAAATAATTATAAATGACTCAAATGGAAGTAATTTATGTGCCCTTTTTGAAATAAGTGATAGGTTACACGTCCCATCGTCTACGTGCGACACATATTCGTATTGTTTCGCATGAACCTTAAATGATTTCTCTGTCCATACCGGAAATTAATGTTCTTGTTACAATTAATTAATGTAATTGAGAGTAACAAGAATATAGACATATACTTTTCTGGTCTTATTTATAAATCACTTTCAATATGTTTCATTAATTCTCATTAAAATTTAATAAATTTTTAACTTTATCCCTATTTAATATATATTATATATCATTTAAACAAAATTAACACAAAAAATAAATTAAAAGTAAAATTGTATATCCACATAAAAAACTTCTTTTATTATCCTATAAATAGGATATAAAAAAAGTCTAATTTTTCTATCCTATAAATAGAATCAGAAGAGTATATAACCGAAAATATCTCATGATTTTTGAAGTGCACACCACACATTTAAGATAAACGTGAAAAATGGATCATATTAGCTCCATGATGATATCAAAGCAAAAAATTTAATTGATGTTTCATTTATTGTGCATTTAAAATTGATTTAAATTCATATTATTGTTGATGTAACTGAATTTCTTGTTTCGGTCAAGTGTCATGCATGTTTTATTATTCATTTACAAGGGTGATGGGTATGGAGAATATTCATTTTATAGACACATGAATTGTTCATAATTTTCTAGTGGCTGTTTACTTGCATTGAAAAAGTATGCGGCTGAGCTTGTTTGAATATTTAACAGAGTTAATAATTTATGGATGCATATAAGTTGAAGTGAATTAAATCTGAGTACGGATTTGAGGTTTATGTTCATTCTGACTTCAATGTTGGGCTGACCTGAGGATTAATTTCCATGACAAAGGCGTGAGAATTTGGTTTTCATAAATCAATTTCGTGCCTTAAAGTTGCTCATTATATTTTGGTGTCTGCTTTAATAATGAAAATTAAATGCTCTATGTGGGTTATAGAGATTAAAGAGAACCCCTCCAAGTATATGATACAATGATAGAGTCAATGCCAAGATTAATTCAGAGTTGGTGATTCAGAATCTAGACGTGGGTTTGGATTTTCTAAGAAAAACGTAAATTAATTTTCAATAGTAGCTATGATTTTTATGCCCAGCTTTGATCTTGAAAATTAATAAAACCAAGTAAATTAAGGCTTAACAATATGGATTTTTATCTCGTCATCATCACCATAGTCACTAAATCCGAGATCTGACATGTTCTAAGTTCCTCATAAATTCAAAGTTCCCAAGTTTTGCCCCTTTTCCATGTAACAAGTATCATTTTTAATTGTTCCTCCCGTTAGGGGGACAAGCTCTGACAATGTTTTATTAATTGCAAGTTATGTGGGTGTGAAGGTATTTTATGCCCTAGACATCAACGCTTTATTTTATTTTTTGCTAATGAGCTTACAGAATCAGTATGCAAAAAGCAATATACAGATCATTTTTAGGAAATATATGAGTTCCACAAAAAATAGGCCCACCATTACATGTTTCTCTTTTTCATACTTTATGTAAAGTTACTTTAGACTTTGGTGAAATAATTAAATATTTAATGGCTTACCTAATAAAAATCATATTGTTCAAATGTTAATTGTGAGCGTGAACTTGATTTGCACTGGCTGGGGGGGTGGGGAAGTGAACTTGATAGCCATGAAATTAGGAGGGGATGATTTTAAATTAAGATATCCTGGTAATTAATATTGTTTTTACTAATTATTATCGCCCAGTTTGTACCCTCCTGCATTTTTAAATCCAACGCTGGCCTAACACAATATAAACGTCACACGTGGCCAGGGCAGCACCTCATTTTTATCATCGGCATAGCATGGTCCCTATTAATTTTTTGGTCCTAGGGCCAGAATATGATTAATTGTTCCATTTTTATGTTTTTTTTTTTTCAATCCTGCCGACTTTTCTTCTTTGCTTTTTCACATCAACTTACAGGTGACATTTTTGCATTATTTATCCATGACCCCCATCGGTGCTTTCTATCCCACCCTTAGTTGTATTTCTTTTTTTTTTTTGAAAATATTTGAAAGATATTCTTATAATTCTATTTATAAGGCACTTCCAACATGTTCCACATAAACTAACAAAAATCTTACACTGTATTAACTTTTCATTAAAATATAGCAACTTCCAATTTTACCATATTTAATATATACTCATTTTTTTAAAAATAACTATCTACATTATAATAAATAAAGGATAATATGGTACATTCATGATAAAAATTTAATGAAGTGGCTTATAAATAGGACAAAAAAAATCTTCTCTTTCTGTCTTATAAATAGGATCAGAAGAGTATGATCAGTTGATTCCATTGTACGAAATGTTATATGTGTAATTACCATTCTCTGGACATATATATGATCATATACAAACTTCTCTAAAAAAAAATCTCATACGGATGTACGAATATAATACACTAGCTAGGTGTAGGACACACTATTATGTGAAGATCAATTGCTACTATTTTGGAGGGGCATTAAACTCCATTAAGTTTACGTGTACCGTGTGTACTGTACGTAGGAAGTATGATTAGTCATACCCCACTTAGCTTAATTAAATATTTGCTCTGGTGGTCCTCCCTCTCTCAAATGTGATTAATAAGCCTTGCTGGATAACATCCCACCACTGATCATATATACTACTATTAGATTAATTCATTATTAAATATTTTCTGCAAATGCTGGTCTCTGGAAAAATTGAATGTCAAGAGAATATTGCGTATATGCATTTTTTTAAAAATGACCACATCTTTTTTAATTGATATGTGGTTAATATCATTAATATAAAGATTATTGTCTATATTATATTGTATATGAAATATGGAAATAATTGTCATACTCCTCAGTGTGAGGCACAAGCCAGGTCGGCCAGTGGCATCTTGAGCTTTGAGAATAATCACGTGCTTAATTAATTTTTATTTCAAAAATCTT